ACCAGTTCAAGGGAACCAACCTGAAGCAAACAAATAGAAGAAACTGAAAGAAAATCAAGAGTATCTTCCACTAAAGGTGGATCTCAGCAGAAAAAGGAAGAAAACATGGAAGAAATCCAAGTTGCAACTAGCAACTTATCAGAAGATCCATATAAACAACAGCAACAAGAAATGCTGTTCAAAGAAATGGATGATGAAGAATCCTGGCTAACAGCAGGCCACAGAAACATCATGGCGTGCCCTAGAAGCAAACCAAGACCAAAAATGTCAGTTAATCCAGAAACCAAAATGGAAGAGAATATTTTAAAGTGGATATTGACATCAATGTTACCCCAGGATCCAACAACTATACAAAGATCCTTTACCTAACCAAGGCCCTTAACTTCTCATTGGGACTCATTGCAATCTGCAATAAATGCATAAAGAAGGGAACATATAATATCACAACTTTTGATAATTGAAAGTTACAAATAATACAATAAAACTGAAATTACTTAATTTAGGTGACAATAAGCTTATGTATATGCATTTCAGTCGCAATTAATTGAAAAAGGAAAATCTATAGTGATCTGGGATATAACCCTAAACACAAGCTCATTGAGATTCAGCAATACTTTATTAGATATAGTAATATTTTAGGAATCAGTATAAAAACACAAAACCTATAACAATTCATCACAGTAATATTTAAGGAGGAAGCAACCAAAGAAGAACTTGTAAAACAATGTAGCATTCTCATCAAAGAGAATGCAATCAGAATAAATGATACAAACTGGTCTATTGATCAGATAAGAGAAAGACATAGTATTATAGTAAAGTTAGTTAATCTATCTCTTGAACAATAGTATAGAACCTGAAACAGGTTCTCAATAAAATAAAGGCATAAATATACTATATACCATAAGCAGGCTCAATGAGCTATAAACTCAAGAAATTTGTAGTGATAAGTTTTGAGTCAAGAGAAGACCTACTTGTGGTTAAGAACTTAACCTATATCTTCAGGGAGACCACTATATTCCTGATTCCCATCAATATCTTGCTATGTGCCATTTATGACACATCGACACATTTTTGCAAAGGGATGTTCCATTAAAGAATAAAGGAAACAATAGAGAGTTTTTACTTACACACAGACTAAAAAGTATGTGCAGATTTACAACAAATTCAAACTAGCCAGAACAAGCAGTATTAGAGTGGACAATACACAGAACAATCAGTGAAATGTTAAACCAACATCTTATGCAACTACTATTCAAATCAATGGTAAAAGGTAAAAGAAACCATGGCAAGAACAATTACAATAAAATAGGTAAAAACATCCACAGCAACTACAGAATCTAAAACAATCCCAAGATATCCTAGAAATCATGAATATGCTTATGATTATTCAAAAAGAGGATGCAAGCCTCAAGAAGATGGTTATAGATATTGACAAAAGGGTCACAAACATTAAAGCATACAACCAGAAATACTATAATAAGATGGAACAATATCCTAACAACAAAGAATAAATGAATTCCCAATACACTGCTGGACATAAGTAACTGACCCCTTTTATTTTCTAAACTAGTAAGTCAATTAAAAAAAATTTTTTTTAAAAAAAACTTCACTACTAACGCTAATTCTCAATACATCGTATAGTCCCCCTTGGATTCTATTAAAGCATCTACACGACAATGCATGCTGCTTGCCAATTTAGCAGCAAATTCAAGCGAAAATTATTTCCATTCTTTTTTAATTAACATTTTTAACCGTCCTATTGACCGAATTTTTTTTTTTTTGAAATATTTAATTTCATTATTCGCCACACATTTTCTATAGAGTTTTGGTTAGGCGACATTGATAACCACGGAAGTACCTTAATACCCTCTTTCTCTTTCTAATTTTTCGTGATTTTTGACTAGTGCTTTGG